TGATGACTGTATCAACCTTGGTACCTCTGTGCTGGACTTAATGTAAGATTCGAATTCAAGAGCTCTGTCCATTGCATCCTGCATAGTAGAGGGGTGTGCTTGCTTTACTTGTATCTTAAGTTGTGGACTATCCAAGGCATCTACAAACTGATCCCTCAGCAACAACTTGAGGACATGGGGTGGCGCAGTTAGTTAGGCCGTGTGTGCCATACTTTCCAAATCCTGTGCCAGCTCTTGCCAGCACAGACAGTCCTAAACCTTGCCCTGTAGACTTCAGACTGATTTTGGGTTCCATACCTGAGTTCTAGAGCAGCTACCAGTGCTCTATAGTTGTGCCTGTCGTCTGATGACAACTGTCCAAGTATTTCCAGTGGTTGTCCCTTTATGTTCGTTGCCAGATATACTGCTTTCTGCTCCTCTGTCCATCCATTCATCTCTGCCAAGAGCTCAAATTGCGCTCTATATGCTTCCCATGGTGCCTTCCCATCGAATTCCTGTGGCTTTCTTCGTATTAGATCACCCCTATTGCTGACACTCGTGTCTGGAGTGTGACTTCTGGTAGGACTGAAGATGTCTGCATTAGGGTTTAGCTGTAGGGTCTGGAAGGGGCTTCCCATTGTCTGAGGTTGATTAGGTCGATGGCTGATATATCCTTCTTGTGTAAAAGACAGTAAAACATCCTTTAATGTGTTTAATTCACTTTGTCGTTTACTAAGCTTTTCCATTTGTACTTCTTGCTTCCTGTCTTGTTCCAGTTGCCACTTCTGTAGCCTCTCTTCTTGTTCATTTTCTTTCTCCTCCAACTACTGCTGTAGTCTCTCTTCTTGTTTATTTTCTCGTTCTTTTTGTTTCTTTTCTTTTTACTCCAACAGCTGTTGTAATCTCTCTTCTTGTTTCTTTTCTCGTTCTTCTTGTTTTTTTTCTTTTCCCTCCAACAACTGCTGTAATATCTCTTGTTTATTTTGCTGTTCGAGCTGCTACTGTTCCAGGTTTTCTTGCCACTTCTGTAATCTCTCTTCTCGTTTATTATCTTTCTCCTCCAACAACTGCTGTAATCTCTCTGCTTGTTTCTTTTTTTGTTTCTTTTCTCGTTCTTCTTGTTTCTTTTGCTGTTCTTGTATTGCTGCCATCAAATCTGCTAAGCTTTAGTTTGATTTGCCGCTTCTCGTTTCCATCTTCTTTTTGTTTTTCTGTCCCACTCTCTGACACCAATTTGTTACGTCTGTGTTCGTTTGTTAATTTTCTGTAGAAATCCTTTCAGAAGAACTTCAGCGATACAAGTCCTTTCTTAAATAAAACTAGTTTATTCTTTCTCAATACAACTTTGCAATACCCTTAATTTCCAGAGTCACTTTAACTTAAACACACGCTATAATTCACAACGATTCACACTTTACTTACGGTCACTACCGCGCTTGACTCATTTGTCCGTCTCTATCTCTGCCTGTCTGTAATTCAAGTTCCAATTGACTTGTCTCCCTTTATCTGGCATGCTTATATACAGGAATAGAGGGAGTCTAGCAAATACTGGATTATTCGTGATGTTCCCCGAACCTTCTAGATACTCATTACGTGTTACCAGATCACGTGAATTCCGCTGTCGTAACAGTGTTTTATCATGGCATTTATGTTCTTTTGTAGATTGTTGGTCTTTTTGTTATAATCCTTCTGTTCTTCATTAATGTTCCTTTGTGATTCAACTCTTACTGTTGCCTTCTTCTTGATAATCTTTCCAATGTTTTATAGTTTCAACTAAGTTTTTATTTTACTTCAAAACACATAATACCACTCCTGATGCCAATATTCTAATGATTTATATTGTCGGGCAGGTTTTTGGTATATTTGGTAAATATATTAGTGCAAAGTTCAAATTCAGCTTATTAATGTTTCCTGATAGGCTTAAGTTCACTTTATACACTAATACAACATTTTCTCTTACTTGCTAACTTCTGTCATATGTAATACACTTCATCGTACCTATGCAGAAAAACACAAAATAAATGTTCACAAAACTAAAACTTGAGAGTAACAGACAAACTATCTGAAGAATTATCTAAATCAATGATTACTTTTTCTATAGTTCAAATTGTTTCCTAATATCTTTAAAGAAAAAGACCCGGACGTTCAGCCATGCCGTAATCACGCGACGTTCAAATTAATCCTAGCCAACATTAATACAAACGTCTAAATTTAAAAAAACAGACATTTAACAACATTATTTTAAAATTGCATTGATTGTGTTTGGTCGTCTTTTTTATTTATTTTAACTACCTAGGCAACTTTAATACTTTCGATTTGGTTTCTTTTCACTTATTTCGTTTGGTTGCTATTAAGAATAAAGCTACAGAATAAGCTATTTGTGCTCTGCCCACCATGGATATCGAAACCCGATTTTTAGCGTCGAAAACCTGCAGATTTAACTCTCAGTCATTGAGGGGGTTCAGATATTTTTTTGTTATTGAGTTGGTATGTTACAACTAGCTAGCCAACTATAATACTATTAATTTATGTTCACTTATTTTGTTGTTGATGTTGACGTGTTTAAACTAGCAACGTAACTGTAGTACTTTCAATTTATAACTACTAATTTATGTTCACTTATTTTGTTGTTAGTGATGACATGTTTCAAGATGCTGGGTAATTGTAGTAATTTCAATTTATAACTATTAACTTATATCCACTTATTTTGTTGTTGCTGTTGGCGTGTTTAAACTAGCAACGTAACTGTAGTAATTTCAATTTATAACTATCAATTTATGTTCACTTATTTTGTTGTTAGTGATGGACTGTTTCAACTAACTAGATAACTCTTCTACCTTTAATTTAGAACTATTAATTTATGTTCACTTATTTTGTTGCTGGTGTTGACGTGTTTCAACTAGCTAGGTTAAATGTAGTACTTTCATATTAGAAGTATTAATTTATGTTCACTTATTTTGTTGTTGGTGATGGACTGTTTCGACTAGCTAGGTTAAATGTAGTACTTTCATATTAGAAGTATTAATTTATGTTCACTTATTTAGTTGTTGGTGTTGACGTGTTTCAACTAGCTATGATAAGTGAACATAAATTAATACTTCTAATATGAAAGTACTACATTTAATTTGTTGTTGGTGTTGACGTGTTTCAACTAGCTAGGTTAAATGAATTGCTTTCAAATTAGAAGTATTAATTTATGTTCACTTAGTTTGTTGTTAGTGTTGACGTGTTTCAACTAACTAGCTAACAGCAGTATTAGATTATATACACAGAATGACACTTGAAGTGGGGCTTAACTTGGTATACTGTCATACATATTTCACTTACCTGCTCTTCATCATCCGGCAGTGTCCACGTCTTTCTACGGAAACCCATCTTCAGGCAACACGCGTACATTTTACCCAAGTTAATAAATGTAAGATTATATATTCTAATTTGTTAGAGCCTTTCACCAACGAACTTAAAGACAATCTCTGGCATTGGTTATGTATATGTTTTGTTACTATCAACAAAAAATCCCAGGAGAGTCTTTGGCACTGAATAATTTCTCTTCTAAGAAGTCTTTCATTCTCGATTACTGGAGTGGAATGTCAATAAATGATACGTGCTGCTTTACAGTTTTGTTTGTACCGATTAATTTGTACTTTCCGTCAAACGATCATGTGAAACCAGCCACCCACATGGTAAGAAGTAGCCTCTTCTGTTGCCATCAGTAACTACGAAGAATGTGCTATATAAAAGTATGCCAAAGAGAGAACGGTGATAGTTATTATGAATCCGTCGTATATAAAGAAAGTAGTCACGTGTGGGTTAGGAAGTTAATTCAATAAACTTTCCTTCGAGAGCGGAAACCAAATTTGACAAACAATTAAATACAAAGCTAGTGGCAGCTAGCTCACACTAATCAAAACACACGAAAAACTTCGACAGTAGAGGGCGCTATCCTCTAAAGCAAGGTTTTATGAACTTCAGGAGAAGAGTGCAGCGGTGTTCTCGTAACTAATTCAAATATGTAGTAGGGGAAAAAACGTAAAAATTACTGTAGGTGACTACACCGACTTAAAAACACGTTATACTCAATGGCAACACCGATATAAAAACAACATTGTTATCCTCTATTACAACACTGATTTATAAACCACAATGTTATGTTTTATTACAACACCGATTTAAACTCATCAATGTTATACTCTATTCACACACCGACTTAAAAACAACAGTTTTATATAGTATTGCAACATCGATCTTATGATAACAATACATATTGATTTCCAATCAAAAAAAAGATGAGACACCTTGTTGTGAGGAGACGAAATACATTGTATACTTTTAATAAAAGTCAAGAGATGTGGCTTTTGAGTGGAATATTTATTTATTTTTCGTAAAAAAATTTTAAACACCGATTTAAAAGCAACAATGTTATTCTATTACAACAGCGATTTAGAAACAACGTTAAATATATTACCATATCGATTTAAAAACAATGCTGACTTTCTTACAACATTGATATAATAATATGAAATTATAATTAGAATGACTATCTAACCAAGTATATATATATATATAAATGCATACAGCTAGATAAATATATTTTTCTGCTGAAATAAGTTATGTAAATCCATTGTAAATATACTTTATGATAAATTAGGTTTATCAAGTAAAAAACAAAATGGTACTAGCCCCTTT